AAGTTGTAGGCTTTCTTAACCTCTTGCCGACCGCGCATAGCCGAATGACGGCTTCACCGCGGCCGGCCAGTTCTGAGTGGACGTCATATGACGTCCTCCCAGAACGCGCTCTCCTGCGCTCCCCAGGGGGCGCGCACCCGGCGATCTCCGTGATCGCTGTGTCCTACGGACACAGCTGATCACGTGATGTGGTGAAAGGCCGATCCCACCGGCCTTTTACCACGTGATCAGCGGTGTCCAATGACACGCTGATCACAGGGAAATGCAAGTGCCGGTTCTCGGCTGCACTTTCCTCACGCTGTCAGATCGTGAGGAAAGTACTGCCGAGAACCGGCAGTTGTCAGAGCGGGGATCGGCACCGATCATCAGGGCACTGATGATCAGTGCCCTGATGATCGGTGCCCAGCAGTGACACCCGCAAGTTCCGCCCAGCAGTGCGCCCACTAGCCCCGCCCACCCGTTCCCAGCAGTGCACCCACCTGTGCCACTCTGCAGTGCCACCTACCTGTGCCCAGAAGTGCCACCTACATGTGCCCAGCAGTGCCACCCACCTGTGCCCACCACTGCCACCCACCTGTGCCCACCAGTGCCACCCACCTGTGCCCACCCACCAGTGCTGCCCACCAGTGCCACCCACCAGTGCAGCCCAGCAGTGCTGCCAGTCAGTGCCACCAGTCAGTGCCCAGGGGTTGTGCCAGTCAGTGCCGCCAGTCAGTGCCCAGAAGTGATGCCAGTCAGTGCCGTCTATCAGTACCCATCATCAGTGTCACCTATCAGTGCCGCCTATCAGTGCTGCATATCAGTGCCGCCTATCCGTGACCCCTAATTAGTGCTGTCTATCAGTGCCGCCTATCCGTGCCACCTCATTAGTACTGCCTATCAGTGCCCTTTAGTGCTGCCTATCAGTGCCCATCAGTGCCGCCTATCAGTGCCCATCAGTGCCGCCTCATCAACGCAAATCAGTGAAGGAGAAAAAATACCTGTTTGAAAAATTTTATAAAAGATACAAATAAACTTTTTTTTTTTTTTCAAATTTTTTGCACCTTTTTTAATTTATAGCGCAAAAAGTAAAGCGCCCAGTGGCGATTAAATACCACCAAAAGAAAGCTCTATTTGTGAGAAAAAAATGATTAAAATTTCATATGGGTACAATGTTGCATGACCGCGCAATTGTCAATCAAAGTGCGGCAGCGCTGAAAGCTGAAAATTGGCCTGTTAAGGAAGGGGGTATAAGTGCCTGGTAGGCAAGTGATTAATCATTCCTGTTATCCTCCTTTTTTGTGAGATAAAAGTTATTTCACCGCAGATATAGCAGAAATTATCTGCTTTATTCACACAAGTTCGAGGCATTACTGAGTAGCCTATATAAGCATAAAACGAAATGTAAAGACGCTGTCGAACTACAATCAGCTACAGATACTGCAGCTTTTATGCAGTGAAGTGATGCAATTAAAGGCTAATATTGCATCATCTCAGTATACATGCAATTTTCTATTGGTCACCAGTATCAATTGCGCAATATGCAGCTGAAGTTGCATCATAATTTTGAATGGCTTACGTCATTAGATGGGTGAATATATCATGGAAACTAGAGCCAATCAACATTTTTTAGGGTCATTTTCGTTTTCAGCACCCCAAAATTATGTAAGATTAGCTAATTTTATGCCCAAAACTTTTTACCTGTTGAACAGTGACCTGTCTTTCGGTTGGTTTGCCAGATGATCCTTTGATTCTCACCTTTCCACATCCAGAGGACCAGGAGTGGTCAAATTACTCAAATGCACATAACATTGCGCTGTCTGGTTAGTGCAATGTATACTCATTTCATTATCACTGGAGTCACGGATTTCACCTTAAAATAGAGATTGGGACATATATGTAATTTTTACTATTTATCCATTATTAATGTCACTTCTTGCACAGGTAACGTCCTAAGATGTTCGTCTCACTTTAATATATATTTAGCGATTTACAGCGCATGTGTGGTTTTTGGAATTGTTTACATTCAATGTTTATTAGGATTTCAGCGCTGCATGTATTTACCATACGTAGGCCATGCACACATATGTAAAACGGTGTTCAAACCACACACATGAGGTATCGCCACGAACGTCAGAGCAAGAGCAATAATTCTAGCATTAGACCTCCTCTGTAACTTTACACTGTTAACCTGTAGAAAATTTTTAAAGCATCAACTATGGAGATTTTTAAGTACCACAGTTTCACGCCATTCCACGAGCATGCGCAATTTTAAAGCGTGACATGTTTGGTATCTATTTACTCACTGTAACATCCTTTCATATTTTACAAAAACATTGGGGTATACTGTATGTTGTTTTTTTATCTGTATTATTTTCCACAAAATATATATTCGTTTTTTAAAAATGCTCGTTTTGGTTTTTGGCCAAGTGCATTTTGAATTTTCAATTTCGGCACCAGAATTTTCATTTTAGTGCATTACTAATTATTAATATTATTGAAAAGGAATACCTTGTCTACCCCTGTAAAACTAAGGAAGGAGGTAGTCATACCCTCCTGGGCTCATTAGTGGGTCCAGCTTATGCCATAAAGTAAGCAAGTAAGGTGCCCACTTGCAGAGGTTTACCATGGTTTCCCTGTTGCCTACTAGTGGATATTTAACAAAGAAGAATCTGTGTCTCCCCAACCCCACCCCACCTTCCACAAATTTTTCATTATGCAAATCCACCTTGTGATTCTTACTTACATACGTGGGTAAGCTATCTGTAATTTCAATAAAACAAAATAAAGTGTATGTGTGTGTATATATATATATATATATATATATATATATATATATATATATATATATATACATACATACACACACACACACACACACACACACACACACACACAGTTAGGTCCATATATATTATAACAAAAATATCCATCTATCACTAGCTCACTAAGGGACAAACTTGTCCATAGTGAGTATAAGGAGAAACCTAGAGATAAACATTGTCGGGACTTTGGAATATATACTTGTAGGAACTGTCCATGTTGTCCTTTAATCAATTAGACCAAGGTTATTTTGCTACCTAATGGCACCTGTTATACCCTTAAACATTTTGCTATTTGTCAGACTAGACGAGTTGTCTACTTCATGTCTTTTGTGAATGCAGTGCATTCTATATCGGTAAAACCAAGCAAGAATTTTGGCGTCTCAGTTATATCATGCAAATAGGCAGTCAATCTCTTCCGATTGGAAGACATGCAGTATTAGTCCATGATTACAGAGTTCCTATTGTGAAATTTCTTGCCCTGGATCACATTTACATCCCTGAGCGAGGTGGGGATTGGAACAAAAATCTCCTCCAGATAGAACAGAAATTGATATATAGAATGCAGGCCACGGCACTCCTGGGTTTGAATGAAGCAGTATCCTTTCACCCTTTTTTGAAGGGATTTACCTTGGGCAAAACTGATTGCACTTTCTCCCTGTGTTATTGATACTCTGCTTTGCAGATGACCAGTGACCCTGGAACTCATTCATATATATACATGTTAATCTGATGTGTCTGTCACAGTCTGGGTCAGGTTCAGAAACCAGTTGCTATAGCAGTGTTAAGGCTTACCTGAAACCAGCAGGATAGGTACACAGGCAGGTCACCCTGTGAAATGACTCAGGCTCACCTGAGGGGCGGGGTCTAAGCACTAACCGGTTTTCACCAGAGCTCCTAATGGTGGAGATGGATTTGGTTGCGTATTAGTACCATGTCGCAGATCTCAGGACCACCCCACCAGGGAATGAGCAAGCCGGAATCCAGTAGCAGATCGAACAGGTTAGGGATCAAGCAGAAGCGGAGTCAGTCAACAAGCCAAGAGTCAGTCACAAAAGGTAGTAGATGAGGATGAGGCAGAATCGTAGTCCACAAGCCAAAGGTCGGTAGCGAAGGTATAGACAGCAGCAGGCGAGACAAGCGGGATATTGGCTGGAGAAGGCACAATAATCTGGCAAACAGGAAACGCAGAGACATGGCTTTTATCAGGCAGTTTATGGGAGGAGCAAGGGGTTCAAGGTTCAAGATAAACAAGGTCAAGGTAGGATCATCCAACTAATTGTCAAGGGAGCTGTCCAGCATTCCAGGTGGCTCAGCGAGAAGAAACATTGCCTCTCACTGCAGAAGGTCCAGGTTTGAACCCAGGCTCTGGCAGTGTCTCTTTTGGTATACACATCAATAATTCTTTGACGCAATAATAATTTACTGACGTATGTCTTTTTTTTGTATACCCATTAATTCATTGCTTGTGCACTTGGATGCAAATCCAGAGGTTGTGCACTATAAACATCTATTCTACTTTATATTGTGTAACATATTTATTTTTTGTACATATTGGTTATTTTTGTCTTTATATTTTTTTTTTCTTATGTTTTTGTTCTTTTCTTTTTTTCGGGTGATTTCCCGGTTCTGTTGGTTGGGCATCCGGCACGGGATATACTGTATATGGTTGGTTTTGTGTGGGAATCTCCCTCTTCTCCTACAGCCCGCCATTAGTCCTTGACAATGTGTCAGGGGCCGCCACGATCCGCGGCTCGGCGCAGGCGCACTGTGCCCGTTCACGCTAGTGTGCGGGCACTAGGTCCTGGCTGGCCGCGGCGGAGACGGAACCCGCGCATGCGCACTCGGAGCCGCGGGTGCGTGCCTGGCACCAATGACAGCGCAGGGCGCGATATTTAAATCGCCCTGCGCTGACAGGTGGTGCTGTTTGGTCTCCCTGTGTTCCTGATCGTGTTCTGCGATTCCTGCTGACTTGGATTTGTTGCTGACCTGGCTGTTCTCTCCTGCTCTGACCCCTGGCTTGCCTGACCTCCCTTCTGGATGCCCCCTTTTGGATCTGTTCTTCTGTTGCTGACCTGGCGTGTGACCCGACCATTCTCTGCCCGCTGCTTTGTACCGCACTGCTCCCACGGCTACTGACTCGGCTTGTTTGACCACGCTCTTGCTCATCCATCCATCCACCTTGCCCTGGCATATCCGCCTCTTCACATCAGGCTCTCACCCTGCAGGAACCTCTGGCGGATTCCTCTACCACGGGTGGGTGTACTCAGGAGCCGCAACCTGGTCTCTGTTCGCTACAAGTCCATCCCCACCATCAGGGGCCCTGTTGAACAAGCGGACCGGGACTTAGACTCCGCGCTCTGGGGAAACCTGACCAGTGGGCTGCTAGAGGTACCGCCAGGTGGTTCCTTACACCATGCGTGGGAATTTCTTCTTGGCATGTTCTTCCTGGGATAGTTTCCCGTGCTGGTGGCGTCCCAAGACTGCCCTTGCACGTCACGGTCTGCCGCGCATGCACATTTTTCTGGGACACAGTGCGCAGGTGCGGACCTGACGCCTCTACGCCATTTCCATCATGGCGGGGGTTGGCGGCAGAGGGCGGGAATTTTTCCCTCATGGACGCCGGGGTGGCCATATGGTGACGCCCTCTGGCATCATTGGCTGCTTTAGCCGCCACTTCAGACCTGGGGCACAGTTGTACTAATTAATTTTTCTATTATCAAACCATCCATATACAGCTTTATTTAATGAGCATCCATTTTACATTTGTCTCTCAGTCTTCTGATTCATAGGCTGTTTTTGTGCATCATTCTGATGATTTGGTGAGCATTACATTTGTTTTTATGTGTCTGCTATAAAGCAAGTAGTCATTGGCTGCTTCAGCCGCCACTCTAGACCCAGGACTCAGGTGCACTAATGAATTCCTCATTACCAAACCACCTACATACAGCCCTATTTTAATGAGTATCCATCTTACATTTGTCTCTTGGTCTTCTGACTCACAGGCTGTCTGTCCTTCACTCTGATGATTTGGTGAGCATTACATTTGTGTTTGCTATTAAGCAAGTAGTTGTGACCATGGATGATTACTTTAATGCATATATGGCTTGTTCTGATTTTATTCTTAGTTTACTACTTTGATATACTGGTTAAATCTCTCCCTGGCCGCATGGTTTGACTTGCCCTATCAATAGGCAATTACTTGGATGTAATTTATACTAATGGTGGCTCACCATCTCTTTTGCCTATTAGGGATTTGGTGGATTTGTTCCCTACATCACATTTTTTGTGCTTCCTTGCAAACTTGGTGAGCAACAATTTCTGTTTGTTTCTTGCAGAGTATATTATCATATATCTCATAATCAGGTGCCTTTTCTTTTCTAACCAGTATTGATAATTCTTGTTGCAGTATGATAAATTATTTATGTATAACCCCATCAAATTGTGATTCGGATATATTGTTCAATTCTTTCCTTTATATGATATTGTTAATTTATAGTTCTCTTTTTATAGTACTATTGGCTATTACTGTTAATATTTGGATCTTTCACAGTCTTACATGCCACTTTGGTCTTTGTTCAATGGGATTTGACATACTTCCATTCCTTGGAGAAATTAATTTTTCAAATTTACCAGTCTATTTCCTTGAGTTGTTACATCCATTATCGAGTGAAATTCTATGTGTTCCATACATTGGCCTGCTCAAGTCACGGTCAGTCTCATCTCTTGATATATCCTTTTATGGACTATTCTTGAACACATATTCTTTTATTAGGTATATCTCTTTGGTCTAATGATTTGGAATTTAATATATTCTGCTTTTCATACCATCTTTAGTCCCATTGGAGGAATGTTTTGGTGCCCCTTTGTCAGTCCTTGTTGTCTGGTGACTTGCATCTGACCACTCTTGCCCTCTTGGATGATGCACCCCGCCAGAACATGGTGTCCAGCCTCTCATCTTGGAAGTCATCTTTCTTTTTTTTTCTCTGACATATGTTTTTGTAAATAAAAAATTATTTGATTATGTGGTAATTTTTTTTTTTTTATTATTATCTGTCTATTTTTTGGTATATTCATTTATGACTGCTTTTATATCTACTAGAAAGTCCTTTGTCTCTCATGCCCCAAGGAAGATCTAGAATGTGGAATGATCGAAATGCGTCGGGGTTTTTTTTTTCTTTCTTTTCTGTGTGGTTTCATATTCTTGTATTAAGAGTTCTCTTGTAAGAATACTGTCAGAGTAATATTATTTTTAGAAATTATGTATTCAATATTACAATGGAAATGTGTATGTAATAAAGTTGCTAGAAATCTTTTTTAACCAAATGTCTCTCTCAATATATGTATGATTCTATTGCTGCATTAAAGCCCCACTGGGGGTTCTTTGGGTGCATGGTCCATATATATTTGGACACAGGCACAATTTAAGATTTTTCAGGTATATACCAAAACATATTCAAGCTATAGTTATATAATGGACATGGGCTGAAAGTGCACACTTTCAGGTTTAATTTGAGGGTATGTACATCCAAATTGGAGGAAGTGTTTAGGAATTACAGCTCTTAAGAGTAGCCATCCCCCCTTTTTCAAGGGAGCAAAAGTAATTGGACAATTAAATCAAAAGCTGTTTCATGGCCAGGTGTGGGCTACTCCTTCATTATGTTTTCGTCAGTTAAGCAGGTATAAGGTCTGGAGTTGATTCTAAGTGTGCTATTTGCATTTGGAATCTAATGCTGTGAACCTACATCATGTGTTCAAAGGAGCTGTCCATGCAAATGAAACAAGCCATTTAAGGCTTCAAAAACAAAATAAATCCATTGCAGAGATAGCCGCAAGATTAGGAGTGGCCAAATCAACTGTTTGATACATTCTGAGGAAAGAAGAATGCACTGATCAGCTCAGCAACATAAAACGGCATGGATGTCCACGGAAGACAACAGTGGTGGATGATTGCAAGATCCTCTCTATGTTAAAGAAAAAACGCATTCACAACATCCAGACAAGTGAAGGACACTCCCCAGGAGGTGGGTGTATCATTCTCAAAGTCTACAGTCAAGAGAAGACTTCACGAGAGAAAATACAGAGGGTTCACCAGAGCAAATACAGAGGGTTCACCACAAGGTGCAAACCATTCATAAGCCTGAAGAACAGAAAAGACAGATTAGACTTTGCCAAAAAACATCTAAAAAAAGCCAGACCAGTTCTGGAAAAGCATTCTTTGGATGGATGAAATGAAGATTAGTCTGTACCAGAATGCCGGGAAGAAAAAAGTATGGAGAAGGCTTGGAACCGCTCATGATCCAAAGCACACAACGTCATCTGTAAAACATGGTGGAGGCAGTGTGATGGCATAGGCATAGCTTCCAGTGGCACTGGGTCATTGGTGTTCATTGATGATGTGACAGAAGCAGTCAGATTAATTCTGCAGTGTTTTAAAGATATACTGTCAGCCAGATTCATCCATATGCAGCAAAGTTGATTGGACGGCGCTTAACAGTACAGATGGACAATGATCCAAAACATACTGCAAAAGCAACCAGAAGTGGTGGAATATTCTGCAATCACCTGATCTCAACCCAAGATGAGCATGCATTTCACTTGCTGAAGGCAAAACTAAAGGCAGAAAGACCCACAAACAAAGAACAAGCGAAGACAGCTGCAGTTAGAGCCTGGCAAAGCATCAGAAAGGAGGAAACCCAGTCTTTGGTATGTCTGTGGGTTCCAGACTTCAGTCAGGCATTGCCAGTAAAGGATTCTCAACAAAATATCAAAAATGAACATTTTCTTTATGATTATATTAATTTTGTCCAATTACATTTGAGCCCCTGAAAATGGTTGCAGTTCCTAAAATTTGTACTTGATATCTATGTTCAACCCCTTGGATTAAAGCTGAAAGTCTACACTTCAAATTCATTTAGATTCTTATGTTTTGTTTTAATTTATTCTGGTGGCATACAGAGCCAAAAGTATGAAAATTGTGCATGTGTCCAAATATATATGGACCTAACTATATAAATAATGTGTACATTTTTATTTTACTAATCAGTGTTGTTTTTATTTTTCAGGCTGAAGTTGTTGTTGAAGTTCCACCATACCATAATAAATCAATTGTAACCGCAGTCCAGGTTCAGTTTTATCTCTGCAATGGTAAAAGGAAACGAAGCCAGTCCCAGAGGTTTACCTACACACCAGGTTGGGTGCCACAACTACAGTATTTGTTTCAGTGATACTATTACAAGAGGGTCTCCTCTGCGCTCACCAGCTATGTATACAAAGTGTTAAAAAAATGCAAATATATGCCTCTCCCTGTTGCAGCCTTGAGACTGATACATATCTTCCCATATCTGATACAATCCAGAAATAAAGTGCAGCACAGCCTCCTCTGTGATTACTATGTATGTGCTACGTCAAATAATATATGACCTGTTAATCCAAAAAAAAAAAAATGTTTTAAATACAATAAATGTATCCATGTGTTCGTGTAAAATCCGGTGCAGCTGTGCATGGTAGCCAATCAGCTTCTAACTTCAGCTTGTACAATTAAGCTTTGACAGAAAAAAAAAAAAAAAAACTGGAAGGCGATTGGTTTCAATACAGAGCTGCACCAAATTTTGCACTCTCCAGCTTTAGTAAATCAACTCCATTGTGTTCACTATGTTATCTCTTGTCACTGATATATAGAAATAAACAATCTACCAACATAAATAAAAGGAAATGAAAAGCAATTTCATATATTTACACTAACATTTAATTTATTACAGGTACTTACAATTGCTAAATCCTCCATGAGTACTAAGTGGGATCATTTGAATATATGCTTGAACAGTTGATGAGATGAATAAATCCATAAATAAAATATAATAAATCTCATGCTATAATAATAGTCCAGCACTCCAGTCATCCAAGTATACATTTGTGCACAAGCTAGCTTTATGCTGTGATAATTTATCCAAATGTGAAAAAAACACTACTCTTCCGTGACCTTCTACATCACCTGCTTACCTAAGAATATGACCTACTGCACAGTGCCTTACCCTTTAGCCACTTTACTACTGTGCTATAGTGGAATGATGGCTACAGCGCGGTAGTCCAGTTCTGGGAGGGCATCATATGACATCCTCCCAGAACGCGCCCCCAGCTGGTACGATCTGTGATCGCTGTGTCCTTTGGACACAGCTGATCACATGACATGGTAAAAGGCCAATCACAGTGGCCTTTTGCCACGTGATCAGCTGTGTCCAATCACAGCTGACCACTATGTAAATATACTTGCCGGTTATCGGCAGTACTTTCCTCACACTGTCACAGCGTGAGAAAAGTACTGCTGGTAACCGGCAACTGTCAAAGCAGACATTTGCACTGATTATCAGTGCCCTAATTATCAGTGCTGTCCATCAGTGC